CTATAGAGCAAATGAAAGTTCCACTGAATGCCCTGTTGTAATTCTTACTCTTGGATTGTTTGCAAAATGACATGGGAAACTTAGAGTCAGTATCAGGAGATTTGATGATGAGGAGGACTAATCTAGTAAGCTCTTGAATTACTTAGTAGACTCAGAATTATCATGCCTGGAGGGGAAGGCTAGCAGCAGACCTGTATATGTGTCCGTTGTGATGAAGAATGCTGGGTGGCCCTCGTGGAGGGTGGTCCAAGCTGAAAATGACAGAGACCCAATATAATCAAATTGTCATTACATATATAGCCTTATGCCCTGAGGAACTGTGCCTACAAATGTTAAAGATCAGTGTTGGGTAAGGGTACACATATCACACCTAGCTAATTAGGACAAATTTGATTTTTCACAGCTTTACCCTTTCCTTTTTTGTCTTAAGTAAGTAGCCTGAGACACGAGGTACCAGGTATCATATGCCTATTAGGCTATGAACAAAACCAAACAATATAGATTAGTGGGAAGATGCCTGTCCATATGTGGTAAAGTTAAGTAGTTTGTTATTCAGGATGAAGCCTTGGGGTATTAGGAATCTCTATACTAGTAACTGAATATCCTTTCTTCTGACCTAGTGTGACCTACCCTATCCAAAATTCTATATTACATTGAGGGAAAGAGAAGGGAAACTTTCCGCACCCCACAAGAGTTCCAAAGTTGTCTATCAGGCTTTAATTAATATATATTTTATTTAAATATTTATATTTAATATATTATATATTATTATCAAACAACAATATTAAAATCAATTTTAAAATTAAGTTTTATTATTTTTCCATGAGGAGTGCTCATGTCTCTAAATTGCCCACATTTAAAATAATTTTTCTAACTTTCTAATATTATAGCTATGGACTCTTATGGACCTCCAAGTAAACAACACTACTGGGAGATCAGAAGCCAGTTTTTCTCCCTCTTCTTTCACTATTTTATACCAGTGGAGGACTTCTGCAGTTGAGTTGGTGAATTCCTTTCATCCTACATTTTGAACCATAAACTTCTCATACTCATGGTATCAAACCTGTTTTCCTTAGTAGATTTTGTTCTAACAGAAATTTAGAGCCACTTTCTCCCAATGTTATTATAAAATCTATAATGTGTAAAGCAAATAATCTTTACATTTTTGAAGGACTCTGAAGGAGAAACACTAAATATATAATGAAGGTCCTATTCACTGCATTTCCTTAGATTTTAAACTACATTCATTTTTTTTTTTTTTTTTGATACCAGGGATTGAACTCGGGTCCTTGTGCTTGCGAGGCAGGTGGCAGAACCACTGAGCTAAATCCCCGGCCCTAAACTACATTCTTAAAGTAATAAAGAAAATTCATCACTGCAGTTCTATTAAGACTGATTTGTTCTATTAAGACTGAATATATAATAAATATATTAATATATAATATATTAATAGTAGTAGTGGTCCATGACCTTTTTTTTTTTTGTATCAGGGTTCGAACTTGGTACCTTGTGCTTGTGAGGCAGGTGACAGAACCACTGAGCTAAATCCCCAGCCCCCATGAGCTTTTTGTTACTGGATAGCAAGTGAGTGGGCTCATCTTGTTTAACAAGATATATTCTAGCTTGAGTGTTGTTGAGTTCAAATGGGAAGTCCAATGCGAACTTCATACTAGTCATGTGCAGTAGGATCATCTGTCATTTCTCAGACAAATGCACAATAATGCCAAACACTGTGTTGACAATAGGACAAAGATAAATTGAGATGTACAGTACTATTTTATTAAATGAGAAAACTGGTTACCGGAAAGTTGTGGTTTTGGAATCACTTTGTTGTGTGAGTAAGATACTCAACTAGCTATAAGGTTGATAGTTACTATAAATGAGTGGCGTGAATCACACGTGAAATTCAATGGGAAAGAAGGTGGACTGTGGCAAACCAAGGATGTTATTCCTGAAAGGACAGCACCTTGTCATCTTCAACTTACTGCAACTGTATATATACCTCAATATTTTAATTTCTCAAGAGTAGAAAGAAATCCAGATAGTTAGGTAAAAACTTCCTGATTTTAAAATTTCAACAGCCAATTAATTTTCTTAAAAAATATCTGTGTAATGCAGGCTAATTTATCTGCTGTCTAGATTAGGTATGTGAACTGCCATTTTGTAATTTGTTCATTACTAAATAATGTTTTTGAGTTTAATAGAATGACCTCTTTCTAGAACTCTAATTGGGAAGTAACAAAGGCCATTTCTCAGGAATCAGAACATCTGTCTTTGGCCACATCTTACAGGATCTGTCACATACTGGAACTAGGGGATCTGGGCCTTCAGAATCATCCAGTTCCTAAAGGATGTTCTTTTTTTTTATATTATTAATTTGATTGGTACATTTTAGGTAAACAATATAATGACATTCATCATTGGGAATTTGCACCCTTACATACTCTATCTTGGTTCTTATTTTTTCCCCATTCCCCTGCCCTCCCTTTAACCCCTACTCCCCTCCCTATTTACAAAGACTTTGTATCCATTTTTTCATTTTCTCATATTAATTCCATTCCCTTCTTTTCTTTCCCCTACTCCTCCCACTTTCCCTTTGCCCCTTTTCTTACTATTTCATATTATCTATTTTACCTTTTAGTCCTTGTTTACACTTTAAGTTTCTCACACCAGAGAAAGCATTGGGTATTTACACATATGTGTTCTAGCCCAAAGGATGTTCTTAGTGTAAGGCCACTCTTATTCCCAGGCCTTGAGTTCATGCTAACACCAAGCCAATGTTACCCTTCAAACTTCCCACATCTTGCCTTGTGAGCACATATACTCTCACAGGTGATGTTTTCTGCCCTGTGGACCTGTGTTGGACCCTGATATTGATATGATTACAGACCAAAGTTGGCAGTTTCTCCTGGATCACTTGGATTTTAACTCATTCTCTCAACTTGGCACTGGTCACCAATAGTGTTCTATTCATAGAGCTCGAGCTAGAGGGAATCCTTTCTCAACATCTCTCCTCTCACCTGTCAGAAACTCACAAAAGTTCTAAACTGGGCTCATGCCTTCTCAAGAAGAAATGGCTCTCACTCCACCCTCCTCCCTTGAGTGTAGGTTCTTTTCATGTGTAAAAGGGATGTTTGGCAGAGTACTGAATTAGGCTGATGCTATGTTGGTTGGCGTAGCCTCCATGTTTCATATGAAATTCACAAACACAATTCGTGAAAGGATGGCAGTGTCTCTGCTCATCCTACTAAGACCTGGACTCTTTAGAGTTCTTGCCAGCAGAGGTTCAGTAAAACGCAACTTCCAAACTCCACCTCAGACACCAAACAGAGCCTGAAAAACTCCAAGGAGCCGGCTACTTACAGGAGTCACAGTGACAATTGGTGTCATCTGTGATGTGGACTGGAAGGGGACTACTTGGCCCCAGAGAAATGCTCATCTGACATAGTTACCCCCACCTACTATGGCTTCTCTTGCCTGGAATGAATTTCTCTTGATGCTATCCTGTGACATGTCCAAGAAGTTGTGTTCAGTTCTACAATAAGCCATATCTGAAAGTGAAATAAATAGCTTTTAAATATCAGCTAGCTATTGAACCAAAGTGTCAAGATCTGAGTGTGATTAACTCTCTGGCATTGCCCATTCTAGAAGCCATCACATTTCACTGAAGGGCAATGGACTAGGTGATATCAGGTCCTGTCACATGTTTTGCAGAAACAGGGGTGAGTGAAGGTGTCCTTATCACATGAGCAGCTGAAGGAGACCCTCTACCTGTGATCTCTGAGAAGAGAGGCCTCCTTACTACCACAGTGAACAAGAATGAAGAAGTGAGCTTGGCTAAGGCTAAGAAGATTTCATCACTCTCAAACAAATCCCAAGTGATGGGGTAGGCATTTTAAAAGTGAGTTTTCTGTAGATACCAGGTATGCTGAATATAATGTGGCACAAGGCATAGCACCCAAATTCTCTAGGCACAGCCTTGACACTATTCCTTTTATTTACAGACACTCCTCTGAATTAGACAACAGCCAAGGCAAGTCCTTCTGCTTAGACACAGGCAGAGAAAGGGTAAATCACCAGGCAGAAGGAGCAGAGAGGAAACCAAAATGTGGACTAGTGTGTTCATTCCCTCCTGCCTCTCTACTCTTCAGGGAACAATCCTGTCTTGGACAAGGAGCCTTATGAGGCAATTGTCACAGCCAATGGCCCCAGGACCTAGCAGGCCTGTGCAAATAAGTTAGGGGCAGAGACAGACACAGCCATTAAGGGGTAGGCTGTGTCACCAGCTGGGTGAAGTGTCTAGTTTATAGGCCTACATGGACTTATATTTGGGCAAACTCCCAGATGGAGGGACTCTTATGTGTCCATAAAAGAGAGTGTATTCCACATCAATCATTGCAGCATTAGTTGCTATTCTTTGTTTAAATTCTCTTTTAAAATGAAGCAGAGTATAAAAGGATACAGGAATGATGAATTAAATCACTATGATATTTCCTGCTTACTACATTTCATTCTTGCCCCCCTCATCATTTCTCAATCTTCATGCCAATGCTCCTGTCACACTAAGTTCCTGCCAACAGTTTGCCACCCTTCACAACAATCCTCCCAACTGTCACCTTCTGACTTTAGACCTGCCCCTCAGTGTTGGCCCTCAGCTCCTCCCCAACTACCAACATCATGCTGAGAATTCAACTTTCTTGCCTCCCAGGATCTTTCTTCCTCAGGGCCCCTATCGAGGTCTTCTCTGCCCTCTAACCAAGCCAGCTCCAGCCATGAGGCCACTATCCACACCATATACCCACCGAAACTCCCCCCCTGAAAGCACCGACTCAAAGGCCCCACACTGACCACTGCTTCCACCCCTCCTGACTTCAATGGGCAGCTCCTGCTGGATGCCCATCAACACCTCTAACTCAAAATGACAGAAACTAAAAAGAGTAGAACAAACAACTGGCATTGGTTGAATCACTTTATTGGCAAGGCTGGGAGCAAGGGCTCCCTCATCTATGGGTGTTTTGAGGGCTGGATGAGGAGGTGGAAAAGGTCTTGCCATGCTCTGGGACCCAGGCCTCATCACTTCTTCTTGGGTTGGGTTGGGACGTCTCATCAAGCAGAGACTTAGGGTCATCCTGGAAAAGGGGACGGAGATGCTGGTTGTTCTCCATCGCTGTCTCCAGGTGCTGTGGGGTGATGCACTTCTTGCGCTTGCCCTGGGCCTCCTTGCCAGCCAGGTCCAGGATGTTGGCTCTCAGGTACTCGAGAACGCCAGCAAGGAACACTGGTGTGGACGAGGCCAGGCGATGGGCATAGCCACCCTCTCTCAGGTAATGCTCCACACGGCTGACGGGAAACTGCAGCTCTGCTCTTGTGGACCGGGACACTGCCTGCTTCCTAGGCTTAGAGGAGTTCTGCCTTCTTTTCTTCCCAGCCATGATGCTTGCTGTGTTTGGCTTCAGTTGTCCTAGCTTGATTTCTCTTCTGGCCTGAGCCTCTCAAAACAGCAGTGCTTGTGGCCACCTGGTTGTCTCTCTGTGCTTCTCACTGGTCAGGAGCTGCCTTTGTGACAGCCTGAGCTTTGTGAACCATTGATGTCCACTGGGCTCTGGTTAGGCCTCTGTTTATGAATGTCTATATATGAACCTCATCACCTTAGTAACTGGATACAGTTTTTGAGGGAACTCTTTCTTCTAAATGTTAACATTAGAGCAAACAGTTCTACTTCAGTGATAACACTGTCTCTTTAGTACACCGATTCAGGTTCTCCAACCCCAGCCTTGCATCATCTTTGAGTTCTTTGCATTCCTTTATAAGCCATTGGTGGTGGAAAGAAATGCAGAATCCTTGTCCAGTAGAGGTCCATTTGTCTCACTTATCATGGTGTAATGAAAACAATTTTCCTTCCATTTATAAGGTTACTTCAATATTCATGATAAATATTTCTAAGTCTGCTCTTTGGATTTTCTTTTAAGCTGCTTATAATCTCTGTGCATTTTCTCATAAGTTAAACAGATTCTTTCAAAATATTTCCACGGTATATTTAGGTAAATGTCATGATTTTACTGTTCATAAATATCATACATCTATTTTGGAGTCCACATTTATATTCCCAGTTAATTTACCTGTAAATTTTCATAACTGAGCTGTTTCCTTAATGCTCAGTTAAAGCCCGAGATTGCCTTTTCTTGCCTCTTCTAGGTGTATGCAAAGCACAATAGGACTTTATGGATTCTGTTTTTTTCTGAGTGTTATTTCAATGTTTAGTTTTGTAATTCAATTTTCCACTCTACTAGTTTTTATATTTGCTTTGTATTTATTCCATTGCTCTCTTCCTGTTATTATCATTATTGACAAAATGGTTGGAAATTTGGTTTCAGGATCTGACCATCTGGAGAATTCTCCAAATGATTTATAGAAATCTAGTCTCTGTTGAGTGAAAGACAAGAAAGAATCTAGTTTTCTGGTCTTTTATTTTTCTGTTTGTCATTTTTCATCAAATCAATCATAAATGTCATACACACTGGATAGAGAACAGCTTTCTGAGATACCATACAAGGGATTTTACTCTTTTCTGTTTATAACTGATGCATGATTAAATTGTAGAGTTGAAGCAAAAATAAGGTCAATTTCTCTGTACATATGTCTCTGTAGTCCAGAAATATTTTTACTTCTCATTCTGGATGTAAAGTTTTCCTATCTCTGGAAGTTATTGATAGATTATAGGATTAATTAAATTAATGAGTTCTGTTCTAATTGGCATATAGTGTGAACCGCCTGGTGCAGCCACCTCCCCCTGCTTTCCTCCTTGGCATGGCAATCGCCTGTTTCTTCCCAAGAGGTGACATGTGGTGGTTTTCACAGCCAGTGGTCCAGAACCCAGCAATTTTCTGGGTACCATGCCCCGCTGCACTGTGGATAAGCATGTCTTTGCACATGAGTTAGAGGAGGAAACAGACACAGCTTGTTATTAAAGGTTGCTCTGTGCCACAAGATGGGTGAAGTGGCAGGTTTACGGGTACATATGGACTTATATTTGGGAAAACTCCCAGACGAGGGACTTATCCCTCACCTTACACAGGAGGAAAAACTGGATAGTGCTTAGAGGGAGCAGAGGAATGTCGAAGATCACATGGTCATACAGTGGTGCACTCAAATCTGAGACCTGGGTCCTCTGATTCTGTTGTGGAAGCTGAGTGGGCAGCTGTTAGAAGCTCTATGTGAAAGGACAACAAGCAACAGAGGGTGGACCCAAGAGATGGTGAACTCCTCAAATGGGGATGCCCAGGGGTAAGGAGACAATTCCTGCAACACTTGATATGAATCCTATAACTTATTTCAAACTGCACAGGACCATGTTTATAGAAACTGCATGTACTGTGAGTTCATTATTTGGGACAGAGTTATCTATGTTCTTGTTAATTCTCTCAAAGGATGTATTCAGGCACCAGTATTTTTTCACTGTTCTTTCAAATATCTGCTCAATAAATGATGGTATCCAAATATGAAAATTATGATTATATTTTAAGTGAAATACAGTTATAAATACACCTGTTCCTTAATAATTAATAACCACTCATTACGCTTGCTTTGGCAGCCTTGGGTCAGCTCACTTGTTTTAGATTATTGCAATTTAGCATTGTCCACAATAGAGAACAGAAAATTATATTAACTATGCAAACAAATACTCCATAGTTCACTCATCTTTTAGAATGAGGCAGTGCATAGATAAATAACAAAAGAAATCAACATGAGCACAATTCCTGTTTAGCACTTTTTTTCTCATTTCCTGTTTTAATGTAAATCCTCCTGTACCTTTCATTTCTTGCCACCAGTGTGCCACACTTACTCCCCACTCCACATCCATTGCCATCACTTTTTGACCTTAGACCTTCCCTACTATGAATAAACCCTTCCCCAGCTAAGTGATGGTCTTCAGATCCTCTTCAGTTGCCAGCACCATGCTAGGAATCCAACAAGCCTGGAAGGCCCCCAGTCAACCAGTGTCTTCTTTCCCTGAGAATGTCTTCCCTTCCCTTTAACCAAGCCACCTCCAGCCATGAGGCCACTATCCACATCATATAACCACTGAAACTCCTCCCCTGAAAGCACCGACTCAAAGGCCCCACACTGACCACTGCTTCCACCCCTCCCGACTTCAATGGGCAGCTCCTGCTGGATGCCCATCAACACCTCTAACTCAAAATGACAGAAACTAAAAAGAGTAGAACAAACAACTGGCATTGGTTGAATCACTTTATTGGCAAGGCTGGGAGCAAGGGCTCCCTCATCTATGGGTGTTTTGAGGGCTGGATGAGGAGGTGGAAAAGGTCTTGCCATGCTCTGGGACCCAGGCCTCATCACTTCTTCTTGGGTTGGGACGTCTCATCAAGCAGAGACTTAGGGCCATCCTGGAAAAGGGGACGGAGATGCTGGTTGTTCTCCATCGCTGTCTCCAGGTGCTGTGGGGTGATGCACTTCTTGCGCTTGCCCTGGGCCTCCTTGCCAGCCAGGTCCAGGATGTTGGCTCTCAGGTACTCGAGAACGCCAGCAAGGAACACTGGTGTGGACGAGGCCAGGCGATGGGCATAGCCACCCTCTCTCAGGTAATGCTCCACACGGCTGACGGGAAACTGCAGCTCTGCTCTTGTGGACCGGGACACTGCCTGCTTCCTAGGCTTAGAGGAGTTCTGCCTTCTTTTCTTCCCAGCCATGATGCTTGCTGTGTTTGGCTTCAGTTGTCCTAGCTTGATTTCTCTTCTGGCCTGAGCCTCTCAAAACAGCAGTGCTTGTGCCCACCTGCTTGTGCCCACCTGCTTGTCTCTCTGTGCTTCTCACTGGTCAGGAGCTGCCTTTATGACAGCCTGGGCTTTGCAATATTATTGGTGTCCACTGGGCTCTGATTAGGCCTCTTTCTATGTATGTCCATATAGGAACCTGGTCGTCCTAATAACTAGATACACTTTTTGAGGGAACTCTAAGCTTCTACTAAAGTATAACATTATAGAAATATTTATGTTTCAATGAAGGTATTACCTGGTGGTTAGCACACCATCCAGGTTCTCTGGTCACAGCCTTGGTTTGTCTTTGTGCTGTTTTACATTCCTTTGTAAACCTTTGGTTGCTTTTAGGCATATTGAATCTCATGTCCAGTAGAGGTCCATTTGTCTCACTTATCATAGTGTAATGAAAACAATTTTGCTTCCATTTATACCATTACTTAAATATTCACAGTAAATATTTTTTATCTCTGTTCTTTTGTCTTTTTTTCATGCTTATAACATAGGTAAATTCTCTCTCATGAGTTAAACTGATTCTATTCACTATTTTGAGGGAACTCTAACTTGCTTTTAGACTTTAGAATTCTGGCAAAAAAAAAAAAACCTTGATCAAGGGAAATCTGTTCCTTACCTGTAGAACACAATTTTAGTTTGTCTATCTGTTTCTAGCCTTACTTTGTCTCTGAAGTATTTTGCGTCTCTTTGTAAGTGTTAGTCACTGATAGACATAAACCTGCGTAGAGGTTCAGTTGTCCTTCTCTCTCACAAGTAATCAAACCAGTTTTGCCTGCACTTGTATATTTATCTCAGTGTTCCCGGTCAATATTCCTATTTATGTTCTTTGATTCTCTCCTTTGAAGTGGATATAATATCCTCCAGTTTATTTAATACTTGTCATATATTTATGGATAAGTGTTTTAATATGGAGTGATATTTACATGAGTGTCATAATTTTATATATTTTGATAATTATCTTTACCTATTTTTGAGGACATAATCTGACACGTCACCTAACTAGAGCTATGTAACTTCAGTGGCAGAAGTATATCACAAGCATGTTTAAATCCCTTATCTTTTTTACGTGAATCAAATGCACCCATAGAACTTTGTTGACTCTGTTTTTACAAATTTTGTTTTCTTGCCTTAGACATTAGTGTTCCTGTTGTTTTGGGGGGGGGTTCTTTTACAGCTGATCAATTGTTCCTTGTTGTTGAAAATCATGGTTAGGAATTTTAATTTTATTTTTCACTTAGAATAATGTTTTCAAGATTCACCCACATCACAGTGTATATCAGGACTTCATTATTTTGTGGTTATAAAATATTCCATTATATACATTACATTATATTCTGCTTATCCATTATGAGTTGATGGACATTTGTGTTAATTCTCCTTTTTGGTTATTATAAGTAATACTGCCGTGAGCATTCATGTGCAAGTTGTTATGCGAACATATTTCTTCAGTTCCCTTGCTTATATAATAAATAGTACAATTGCTTGGTTATATGCTGAGAATTTGTTTTATGACCTGACCTTTTGGATATCTCTCTAAATAGTTGATTCTTTGTCAAAATCTGTTTTCTGCTGTTTGAGAGAAAACACAAAATCTAGTTTATCAGTTTTTTGCTTGTCTATTTTTTGGATCAATATAAAAAGAA